TACTAATTATATATTTTCTGTATTTATATACAAGTGTAAAAAAGAGAGAAATATAGAAAAAAGAAGACGAAAGAAAGAAAGAAAGAAAGAAAGAAAGAAGACAGGTTATCTAGGAGTAGATAAGTTATGTGAAGAGAAGAAAAAAACAGAAAGTGATTGCATAAGGATAGAAATGATAAAACAACAATGGAAGTGAAGGGAAAAAAAAGACGATAAAAAAACTAAATAAAAAACGCAAGAAAAATGATTAATGTCATTGCGAAAGGAAAAAAAAAAGAAAAAAAAAAGAAACATTGACGTTTGATACTGGGACCAAGAAATAAGAGCTAATAACGTGAATAAAGCCGATAAGAAGACAAAAATAAATGAAATGACAGAAAATAAATAAAAAAAAAAACAAAACAAACAAAAAAACATCAATGCCATATAAAGAAAAAAACAAACAAACAAAAAAAAACAAACAAACAAAAAAAACAAACAAACAAACTGTAAAACGTATTAGGAAGAGCATAGAGAAATTGTTTTGTAAAAAGATAGCCCGAATGAAATAAACAGGCAAATGTATAAATGGACGCCACTTGAATGAATAGATCTCATCTAACAGATTGACCGAGAATCAAGAAGGGCGGGGTTTAAACTGCCCTGGTTGCTTTCCCTGCACTATTTATAAATATGATGAAATTACAAAGCACTCTGATTGATGAAGGAAGGAATGTTCGATTCTGTTTCTTTTCTATCTTGGGGATTCTTTGTCGCCTTTTGCCGTTTAGGTGCTCTTCATCTCTTCACCGTATTGTCGATTTGAGAAAGAAAGGACAATGATTCGCCCCTTGCTACAGTGTAACCCGGATATAAGAGACCCGGATATAAGAGAAACCCGGATATCAGAGAGATTGTCTCTGGTCCCAAATGAGAGCCTGTGTTCATGTATATAAAATAGACAAAACCGGGATATAAGAGAGATTTTCTCTGGTCCCAAATTAGAGCCTGGGTTAATGTATATAAAATAGACGAAACCCGGATATAAGAGAAACCCGGATATAACAGAGATTTTCTCTGGTCCAAATTAGAGCCTGTGTTCATGTATATAAAATAGACCAAACCCGGATATAAGAGAAACCCGGATATAAGAGAGATCTTCTCTGGTCACAAATTAGAACCTGTGTTAATGTATATAAAATAGACGAAACCCGGATATAAGAGAAACCCGGATGTAAGAGAGATTTTCTCTGGTCCCAAATTAGAGCCTGTGTTCATGTATATAAAATATACGAAACCCGGATATAAGAGAGATTTTCTCTGGTCCCAAATTAGAGCCTGTGTTAATGTATATAAAATAGACCGAACCCGGATATAAGAGAAACCCTGATATAAGAGAGATTTTCTCTGGTCCCAAATTAGAGCCTGTGTTCATGTATATAAAATAGACGAAACCCGGATATAAGAGAAACCCGGATATAAGAGAGATTTTCTCTGGTCCCAAATTAGAGCCTGTGTTAATGTATATAAAATAGACGAAACCCGGATATAAGAGAAACCCGGATATAAGAGACTTCTTCTCCGGTCCCGACAACTCTCTTATATCCGGGTAACACTGTATTACATTAACGGGCATACAGAAACACATCCACACACATAACCGCAATAATGAACTAAATCATTAAGGTCACCGAACAAAAAAGTTGTTAGCTCTCCATACGTCACTACAATATCCATTAGATTTTTTTTTAATTTTTAAACGTTTACTCTAAGCTATTAGAAACAGCTGAGATCGTACAAATCGTAATGGCTGGTCCATAAGTGCTTAGTGGGATTTAGAGCTGGTGAATTTCGTAACCTGAACAGCAAAGGAAGTCTACTTCATGTACCTAAGTAACCAGCTCCTTTTTCTATACCCTGCTTTTACAAGAGCCAGATCAGGCTGAAAATGATCTGGTCTGGTCAAGAGGTGCGTCAGAGGCTGAAATTCCTCGGAGGCTTTTAACGCAATACGGCGACACTGCACTAAGGCATACAGGCGTATGTGAGTGGTTCGAGTTTAAAATTGGCTGGACAAGCATGGCGCAAAAAGAAGCAGGATGGCCGCCAAACTCCAGCCACTGACGAGAAGATTCAGCAAGCTCGGGAGATGGTGATGGCTAACCGGCGAATTATCGTCGATGAGGTAGTATGTTCTGTGCAAATTCGAGTCACTGTTCTTTCTTGCCCTTTGATGCACACTGCTAGTGTAACGGTCATGTTTGCACTGTAACATCAGCAAGAAAAAATGAACCGATCAAGTTCAAACATTGATCCCGTAACTAGAATAGTATCAACTATAGGCAAGTATGAGAAAAATGCAGCATAACAAGCCTAAAGATATGTTATGGCGAAGGAGCAGATACCTTTTCGGCTCACCCTTGTATTTAAGAGAGAATATCGTCATATGTTCAGACATATAGAAACAAAGATGACAAACGCCATTTCCCGGCAAATAAATATTTAACAAACCAGTTTGCTAAGCATAGATCGAGTAGTGTAAACAATTCTTACCGGTTACCCTGTTCGGATTGATCATGGACCGACTACAAGGCAGAGTAATAATCTATATAATAAGAGCAAATGTCAGTGTGTCATGCCTTTTCAACTTTACACCTAGAGGCCATAGCCCAGCATATTATACATTTTTGGAATCAAGCCGACACCGTGAGCAAATTAAAAACCTTCCGGGCCAGATACGGACCCACAATCCTGAAATTTCGGATTCCCAAGTTTTCATTACTGTGATTGTTTTTGTATTCCGCCATGTTGGCGTCTGCTGATAATAAAAAAAAAAGCAATTAAAGGGACACAACTCTCTAACTTTAAATAACGCATGTTCAAATGAAAAAAAATACTGTTCCCAAATTACAGTGTTTCAAAATAAAATTGTTCGTGTTTATCCTAGATCCGTAGCTTAGTATATCATACCATTTTGGAATCAGGCTAACTCCATGAGAAAATTAAAAAACATTCAGGGGTAAGATCTGGACCCACAATTCTAAAATTTTGGATTGTGTGTGTGTGTGTGTGTGTGTGCGTGTGTGTGTATAACATAATTCTGCTAAGTCACAGATTTTATATTTGCATTAATTCTCTATAGATAGAAAAAAAAATGAACGGTAGAATAGATGAACGGAGTGATATATAGAGATAGATAAATGGATAGATATTGAAAAGGATGTGATAGATAGATAGATAGATAGATAGATAGATAGATAGATAGAAGAGGATTTGGTAGATATAGATAGATAGATAGATAGATAGATAGATAGATAGGATAAAAAGTTAAGATCATTGATAGATAGATACAGATAGATAGATAGAAAAAGATAGATGTGAAAGATAAAATAGATAGATAGATAGATGAATGAATGAGAAAGATGAGATAGATAGATAGATAGATGAATGAATAGATATATACATAAAAGAAAAGACAGACGGACATACAGATGATAGATAGATAGATAAACTAGAATAGATAGATATGGGATTAAATGACACATAAAATATAAACAATAGATAATAACACATTACATAGATGGATAGATAGATAGATGATAGATAGATAGACATGAAGAAAATAAAGATAGATAGATGAATGGATAGAAGCAGAAGGATTAAATAGATAGATAATATATGGATGGATGCAGATATGGATATGAATTAAATAAGAACAGATAGATAGATGGATGGATGAATAGATGGATAGATATTAATTGGCAGAGATAAATAAGATAGATATGGATAGATGGATGAATAGATATGATCAGAAATAAATACAGAACAGATAGATAGATAGATTAAAAAAGATAGATAGATAGATAGATAGATAGATGGATGGATAGATGATGGATGGATGGATAAATAATGGGATAAGATGGGAGATCAGGAGATGGATGGATAGATGGATGCAGATGGATAGATAGATAATTAATGCAGATAGATAAATGGATAGATAGATGAGATAGATGGATAGATGAATGGATATGGTAAATAAATAGAACAGATGAATAGATAGATAGATAGATAGATAAATAAAGATAGATAGATGGATGGATAGAAGCAGAGATATAATAGATAATAGATAGATAGATAGATAGATAGATAGATGGATATGAACAGAAAGAGATAAGGACAGTGACAGAGAGACAAATGCTATCGATACTCGAAGTCAAATCGATCGATAGATAGATAGATAATAATAATCATTTCTGAAACTTCCGATTTGTCTGCCGTTTCACGCTAATTTTTACCTGAGCACGAGCAAATAAATTTAACTACCTTTTACATGTAGATTGATGAAGAGAAACGGGCAAATATATTTCGTATGAATGATCGATAAATAAACAGAGAAAAACGAAGATAACCAAAAGTCTGTGTATTTAATTAATCAGATATATTTGAAAAGACAGCTCCGAAAAAATAGGATTATTGAAATATAGTCAACCGTGTTTTGTGTGTGTGTGTGTGTGTGTGTGTGTGTGTGTGTGTGAGAGAGAGAGAGAGACTAGGTGTTTTCGCTTTTTCATAACATGCTTCCACCCAGCGGCATTGAGACGAAACAACGATCACACAAAAATACACCAAACAAATTCTAACGACAATCACTATTTCGTACACGTTAGTTTTCCGCCATTTCTCAGCATCCCCAACCCCATCCCACCCAACCTCCATCGCCCATGCAGTTCGCTGGCGTTCACACTGCTACTTTGTACAAATACATATGCCCGAAGAGAAAGCCAATGCCCACACTTGCACGCACGGCCGTTGGCAAGCAGACACACGCGCTACTCCCAGTTGAACACGATTTAAAACTAATTGCAAAACAGATTTCATTTTTTTTTCTTCTTTTTTTTTTTTTTTTTTTTTTATTTTTTAGTCTGTTTCATCCGCGTCTCGTAAGAAGAAAAGCACAAGGTAACACACTTATCACAATGACTGACAGTTGAATGAACCAAAAACAAAAATGAAAGGATCAT